CCCTCTCCTCTCCCTTTAACCCTGCAGGTGGGCTGCAAGCACAGCAAGGGAGCTCAGCATCACCTGTGGGACCCTGTCAGGCCTGGGGCACTGCATGTTGCTCCTGCACCCACAGGTGTGGCAGTCCCAGCTCTCCCCAGGCTATTTTCCCTGGTAAGGCTCAGTCTGTGCCATCTGTGCCACCATCACACCTCTCCACAGGATCCAAAGCCGTGCTTGCACAGGCATAGGCAGCACTTGGGGACAGCAGGAGGAGAGGAGGCTTTTTCCAGGGGGTGTCACAACCACAGGTGACAGTGCTGGAGAGCAGAGAGCAGCTGCCAGGGTTGTGAAAGTCTTTGGCCCTCATGGCGTGGGATGGGGAGTTGGGAGCAAAGCACATCAAGTGAGCTGGAGACAGTGACATTTTCCTTCCCAGCTGCTCCATCCGTGCCCACGCAGCCAGTGGGATGACTCTGTGCAACTAATGATGCAATGTGATTGGTAAACAAATCATGCATTTGCACCAGGAAACAAAAAATAAAGAGGAAGAGGAGAGAAAAGAAAGAAAACAAGTCACATTCTGGGCTGGCGGCAGGCAGCAGTGAGCTCTTTAAAAATCTGCTGAGGAAGGCACTTGCACAGCACATGGTTTGGGCAGATCAATGAAGCTGCAAAGCAGCCTGGCAGGCACACAAATCCACTTTCTAATGAAATTTACAGCAAGTGGAATTTAGGTCACTACTCGGAAGCATTCAGTTTATTCCAGGCAGCTTTTAAAATATTTAAGAAATAGCTGTCAAATTAAGCCTGCTCACCTCTGACTGCAAGGTCCAACTTGGAGCCATGGCAGATTTCTTAGCTATGGCTTAAAAATATATTTTTTAAGCTTTCTTTGCTTGCCTCCTCACTTTATTACCAGAGCACAGTGATTGGCATCAACTCCTGCCACACAGTCCTGGCTCTGGTGGGAGCTGGGAGTTGTGAGGATGCTCAGGCTGTGCCCAGCCCAGCCTCCTCCATCCCCCCAGGATGAGGGCAGTCAGACACCAGACATGTCCTTCTTGTGCCCAAAGGACTTCAGCTGCTGCTGAAGGAAGAGCAGTGCAACAGCCAGACCTAAAAACAGCTCTTGAGGGAACAGCTAAAAGCAGCCTCTCAGCAGAGGTGAGCTGTCACCAAGTGGTCTGGGCTGCACTGCAGGCTGCCAGCGCTATTCCCAGATGTCACACTCCAAGAGAGCTGCCAGAGCATCTTCAGTGGGGGGTTGAGGGAGAGGAGAGGTGGCAAACAGGCAGTTCTCTGGCTGTTTACCCAGCAGAAGTGGCCACATCTCTCAATCTCCACACTCAATTCCTGCAGAGATCAGAGCAGGCCAGAATTTCCACTTCCAACAAGGCAAAGTTCAAACCCTTACCTAACACAGACAGTGGGAGCTGATTGCTGCCCCAGCTTCAGGTCCAGCCAGGCACAGAGCTCAAAGTTCCTCCAGCCTCAGCAAAACCAGGAGCAGAGCAGGGGAGAGCAGAAGGCAGCCCTGGAGCAGGGCTGGGCTCAGTGTGAAGGGAGACACCCCAGGCACAGCCAGGCCCTCTCTGGGCTGTGCTCTGGAGGATAAAGAGGTGTCCCCATAGCTCACCAACCTGCCCCACCTTGCCCTCAGCTTGTTCCCCACAGCCTTGGCATCACCCATGCCCACAGGGAGGGATGCTCCCTTTCCACAGGGTCTGACCAGTTCCCAGCACAGTCCCAGTGTTTGGGATTTAGCCTGGCTGCAGTTGAGGTATAACACAGGTTCCTGTCTGCCTCCTTCCTCATTACACACATAAATCTCCATTTCATGCTCAGCTGATGGAGGATTTGGTTGGCTGGGTTATGATCCTGGCTGCTGCTCCACAGCTGGCTCTGCACCAGCTCTGGCACTGGGGGGACACGCTCTCTGACCTGCCTCCCATCAGCACTCCTGGCCATGGATGAGCACACCAGAGCACGCTCAGACACCATCCCTGTGTTCATCCTGGCCCTTCTTCCCCCTCATTGTCTCTCCTGACAGAACTCCATGTCCATCCCTGCAGCTCTCCTGTCCCTTTTGCTCCATTCTTTGTCCATAGTGACATAATCAAGTCTGGAAGAAGCGATCCTTGGATATTATCCAGCTCTCTGGGACCCCTCCTCCCTCTAGGACATTCACCCATAGGATTTCTCCAAGAGGGTCCCTGGAGAGGTCAGCTGGCTCTTCCCATGCCAGGCTCTGACTGGACATCCCTGGCAGCACATGGAGGCCTTGGGCCCTCCTGACACCACAGAGCTGTACATCCCACCTGCCTGTGGAGCTGCTCCCCTCCCAAATGGATCCAGCTCCAAAATGTCACAGACCCACACGGTACCAGCAGCTGCAGAGGAACCTTCTCAGGATTTTGCTGCTCATTGACCCCATGTGTTAGAAAGTCTTTTTCCAGCCCAGCAGTTGAAAAAGGAGTCAGAACTCTTCAGTTCTCAGTCTCAAGGTTGTTTATTGTATCTTATCTATGAAATTCTTTCTCCTGGCCTGCCAAGGTCCATTCAGTCACAGGCACTCTGCCTGCCCCCAGGGCAATGTTATGTCTTTATACTAAAAACTACGTGTACAATGGTTACAGTTGCTTCCCAATACCTATCACCTATGTTAGACAGTGAGCTTCTACTCTAAACCCATCTAAAAGTGCCAACATCACAGCAGAAGATGGAGGTCAAGAAGGAGAAAGGCTGGACACGCCCAGATTCCTCCATATTGCCCACTGAACCCCCATTCTAAAAGACCCCAAAAATCTATTTCGCACCCCATGACAAACTGATTATTATTCTACTTATATGTTTGTGGCTTGCAGATCTTCCCATGAGGCTGGTAACTTGCTCCATGGGTCATAATCAATCCCACAGGCATGCTGGGCTCTGTGCCAGGGTCTCTGAGCCCCCTGGCAGGGGCCCTGGCACTCCAGGACAGCCACAGGGATGTTCTGAATTCTGACATTGCCTGTGTTCCTCCACAGCCACAGCATCACCTGCTCACCCAGCTCCCCTCTGGGCGCTCCTTTAGGCACTCAGTGCTGCAGCAGGGCAATGCTGGGTCCAGTTCTGCTCAGGATTTTGTTCTTAGTGAGACACTTGGAGGCAGAATTTGGCAAGGAAGATATCCTGTAGCTGGCCAAGGAGCCAACCTGGAGCTGAGCAGCACATCCTACAAGCACAGGGAGCACACACAGCCCTGCAGGCAGCACAGCCTTGTGGAATTTCACTGCACACTGATGGTGGGCTTGGCTTGGGAAGGTTGCAGAGCAAGTGGAAATTCCCTCCAGGAAGGGAAATCTAGGAGCCAGGCTCTTGTGCAAGTGAAACAGGAAATTTGTCCCTGCTGTTTAGATAAATTTTTCTCCCCAAGAGAAGGGAGAGGGAACTTGGAATGTGCAAGTTATCCCTCCAGAAACCTCATCCAGGAGCTGGGCTCCACCGGACCCAGCCTAGAGCAGAGCTGCCTCCCCTGCACACTCCAGCTGCTCCTCCTGGCTGCAGGCTGCCCAGGGACATCCCATGGCATGCCCCGAGCTGGCTGGCGTTGTGTAATGCAGCCTGGGCTGCTGCCAGGGCACGGAGCAGGATGTCCCGAGGGATGTAATCCTGCCGGCACATCCGATAACAGAAAGGCTCCCGGTTCTCCCGTTCCCGTGAAAACAAAGGATTCTGCGGCGCTCCACACCCTCTAGTGGAGGCGGGAGCTCGGCACACCGAGTGATCCCAAATCCCACAGCTCAATCCAGGATCCCATTGCCTGACAGCTCCCCAGACAGGGCTGGGGCACATCTGCAGGGTGTGACAGCCCCGGGGACAGTGCAGGTGTCACTCCTGCACAGCCACCTACAGCAGGTAAAGCCTCCCCACAGTGCTCAGGCACAAAAGGATTAAACAAGAAAGTCAGCTTTGAAAAACGGATTTTATTCATGTTCACCATCCATTAGGCACAGCTGCTTTCTATAACCCACAGGAAAGCTGGAGGGGGAGTTTTTACAAGAGCATGGAGTGCCAGGATAGGGAGGAATGGTTTCAACAGGCACAGACAAAGGTTGGATGGGGTATTAGGGAGGGTGGGGAGGCCCTGGCACAGGATGCCCAGGGAAGCTGTGGCCACTTCTTCTGGGTAAACAGCCAGAGAACTGTCTGGACATATTCAAGGCCAGGCTGGATGGGGCTTGGGGCAACCTGGGATAGGGGAAGGTGTCCCTTTCCATGGCAGGGGCTGGAAGGAGAGGGTCTCTATTTTCCCTTTCAGCCCAAACCCTTCTATGATTCTGTGATAACCCAATAACACCACACAGGAATTACCAAACTGCAGGAGCAGCTCTCACTATCATGCAGAATCACCTCCTGCTCCAGCCACCTGAAATTAAAAAAACAAGATGTCCAGCCAGGAATGCTAAAGCCAGAGCCCCCATTCTATACACACCCATTCCTCTGGATCAGTGTTAACTGAAGCATCATCCACCCCATCTGCCCCTAAAATCCTTCCCAAAAGCATCTCTACCACTCCCAGAGCCGCATCACCCACCCCACAGCAACAACAAACTGCAAAAGCACTTGTTATTTTGGCAGGGAATGTTTGCCAGGAGCCAGGATCACTGTGGTGCCAGGTTCCCAGCACAGGCCCTCCCCCTTGCCACACCTGCCAGGGCACACAGCCCTGAGGTGTCCCCAGGTGAACCCCCCTGCAGGAGACTAACCAGACATGTAAACAAGAGAGCGAAGTACACAACTCCCAACAAAGCCTTACATTTGCTCAAGTGCAAAAACCACCTTATCACTGTTCCCTGCTACGTGGGGAACAAAGTTGCAACTCAAACAGCATCTCGTGATAAATCAAGTACCCAAGTTCTCATTTCCATACCAGAGAGAGCACCAGTTTGATTTCACAAAACATTTTCAAAAGAAGACTCAGTCCACATTAAAAAAACCCCAACCTAACCCATTTTTCCCTGCATTAGGGGTGCAGCTGTTGTTTGCAGTATCATACATGACCATCAAAATGCTTCATGAATGTTCACACCTGTTACTGCACAGGTGAGGCCCAGCACGGAGCCCACCTGGGAGCTGCTCTCGGGCACGGGTGAGGCTGGCTGGCACCATCCAGCAGCCCTTCCCCAGCCCACAGACCCCTACCCCTGCCCAGGGGGGCACCAGGGCTCCCACAACTCACCTGCTGCTCCCTCACCTCAGCAATGGCAGAACCCAGTCCCACCCGTGTCACCATCTGGGGCTGAGCCCCGGCAGGAAACCCTGGGACACACAAAGATCTGGGACACACAGCAAAAACAAACCCTGCTCTGGCTGTTGCAGCCCCCTCCCCACCACACAGCTCACCCCTTACACCCCACGGGCCCCTCTGCGCTCCCACCCTGCTGTGGGCTCAACACCTCCCCAGGGAGCAGCCACAGCCCAGAGCTGTCCTTGCACAGCACCCCAGCCCTCCTACAGACCCCCTACACAGTCCCAAAACCCCCAGAGACCCCAAACCCTGCAGCCCCCAAAGCTCCAGCCCCCCAAACCCTGCCTCTCCCAGCCCCCATTGCAGCCCCCCAGGCCCTCACTACACCCCAATATCCCCTCTGCACCCCGACAGCTGCCTCCCCCAGCCCACCACAGAACCCCACACTCTGTCCTCCCAGGCCCTCACTGCATCCCAAGCCCCCCAAACCGTCTGCTCCGGCCTCCTCACGTTCACTCCTGCCTCCCACACCATCCTCCAACCCCACTGCAGCACCCCCTGCAACCCTACACCCTTCCTCCCATACCGCAATACCCGCCATTCTGATCACTAACCCCCCTGCACCCCCGAATCCAGCCGCCCCCAGACCTCCATGCCCTGCACTCCAGTACCTCGTTTCCCCCCCACTCCGCACCCCAAACCCTGAGTGCCCAGTGTTCCCCCACCTCCAGCGCCTGCTTACCCCACAGCCCCCATTACCGCCCCTCCTGCCCCCCACACTCTGCCCCCAACCCTCATCACCCCCAGCT